AGATAAGGGAGCATCAGTGATTTGCCCAAAGCCTATTAGCTGGTCAATAGGAGAGTCTCCTTAACTTCTTTCAGAACTTTCCCCACTGCCATCACTGTTAATTTCTGGAAATAATGAAAGGGGAGTGCGACTGGGGGAGGGGTGGGAAAGAGGTTTGGAACTTTCACTTGCGGACCCAGGTTTAAACTTTTACACAATACCATTAGCTCTTCATAAAACTCTCCCAATGGCACAGAATACTGTACAGACAATGAATTTCTGCTTTGTGCATCTGTCTCCTCTGCAAGTCGAGGAGTTAGTTGGACCATGCCTGTCCCCAGCAGCTGGCACAATGCCTGCTTGGTCCTTATAAAGCTTTGTTGAATTAAACCGAAATAAAAACCCATGTGGTTTATGCCATTTCTCATAGACGGAAAAGCTAAATAAAATCTCCTAAAGGAGAACAAAACTTTAGAACCGTCTGAGGCCCAAGAGAAAAGTCCTCACATGAAAGTGGCATGCTAAGACGGAGGTCAGCAAAGTTAGGCCAAATCTGGCCCATTGCCTGTTTCTGTAAATAAAGTTTTATTGGAACATAGCCATGCTCATTCATTTGCACATGACTGCTTTCACAGTTTAACAGTAGAGTTGAGTGGTTGTTACAGAGACTGTATGCCCCACAACATCAGTAAGACAATGAGGAGAACGAAGGGCAAATTTGTCAAAATAACACTGTATGTTTCCATCTGTATGTTACACCTGGAGACGAACTGATACCCCCTTTGAAAATTATCTGCAAGCTTACGTACTTTAGAAATGCAATACTATATACTAAAAACCATGCGATCCGGTTACAGACCCTACTGAAAATGAGGAAGCAAGTCATGAAATCATTTATGAAGCCAGCACACTTTTTGAATTAATTTCCTTTACCTGTGGTTCTTCTATGTGCTTTTTCATGACTAACACAAAAGTACTGAACAACTCTAAATATATCCTACACTGTCAGCTTTACAGAGGTGAAGCTATAGACATTAGATCTGCAATTCAAAAGGGCCCAAATCTTTTCTCAGGTCATTTCAGAATGTGAATATAAGCATTATGTTTCTGCCCTACAAGATAATATTAAAGGCAAGTGATAATAACTTGCCTTAAAATTGCAAGTATCCTATGTACAGTGTAACTCTTTCCTCAGATTTAACACATTACTTATTTTATATTGATGTAAAAATATTTTATGTACACTATAAAATTGTTTATGTTGCTTCTTGCTGAAGTTCTTGAACCTATATTGTATGCTTTCCCTATGAAATTAAGGTAATGTAGAACAACAATTTATTTAACGTATATCAGTCCCCAGTAGCCTGTTGTGATATCATTACAAATAGATCTTTTTTCCTTCAAATATTTAAATATTTAAGAGTTGCTATTGCTTTTTTTGTTTTGTTTTAGTTTGATGATTCACTTCCTTTTTTGTTTTTACCATTGACATTGAAAAACGCATTTTCTGGAAGTCTGAAATTATGCCCAATACAACTCAAATATCCTCTATAATAGCACTGAATAACAAACATACTCAAGAGTACAGTGAAAAAGGGGTACCTGTGGGATTCTAAAATATACTCTGGTTTTCTCATTTAACAAAAATGCAGTAATTTGAAAATGTATTAAAAATAGGTGTAGTGTAGTACTTGTCTTTCATTATGGGAAAAATAGAAAAAAGGTTAAAGAAAAAAGGGAAAAACTGTGTAATCCACTGCCACTCCCCGCCTCTCACCCTGAGCCAGCCACAGGGCCATCCTCCTCCTTCTAGACACTGAGCTTCAACTGCGCACAAAGGAGCAGTGGCCTTGGCAGTCTCTGCTTCTAAACTGTAGGTAAATCTCCTCCCCGTCTGTAACATCTGCATACTACAAGATGCCAGCTTTGTCTCTTGGGGGGAAGAATGTACCTAATTTAAAAGTCCTGGTGCAAATGGGCACCCAGCCTTTAGGTGTAGGCTCTACCAGTAAGGTCAAGACTGAAGGGCAAACCCCACTCAGGAACTGAAGTGCACACACTCTTTGCGCCAGCATAGGTCGGAGTCCTCATTCCCACCATTAGCCATCTCAGAAGCATTCCCGGGAGCTGAGGGATGACTCAGGGAAAGCTGCCCCCACACCTTAAAACCACATGCCATTCCCGTGGCTCAAGACGACGTGGGTGTGGAAAGCCACGGGCCCCACCAGAGTTAGGGGCCTGGGGCAGCACTTACCAGCCTGTTCTCTCTTATGAAAACCGGGACTTTCTTCTCCTGCCCTGAATCTTACTGGGTCATTGTGAAACTAACAAATGAGATTTTATGTAGAAAATCTATAAATTAATACAAACAATATATATATATATATATATTGTATGTATATATATATATTTTTTTTCATATGCTGAGAAGCACATGCTTTTGGCATGACCTGTATCTTGTGGTCGGATCCCTTTGCTTTCTTCCCGCACCTTTAAACGATGTACACATGTCACCACATGTTTTTTTTTGAACTACAAAGACTTCTGAAGCCTGGGCAGCCCCTCGCTGCCAAGCAAAGCCTGCTTCTCCTGCCCTGCTCTTTGGGCTAATTTGTGGAGCCACAGCCGTGGTCTCTCTGAGCACATGTGCCGTCACAGCTCTCTCTTCATTCAAAATTCTATCCATGAATGACATCATGAACAATTGCAAATTCAGCCGCAAATAATCAACTGATGACTACACAGAAACAATGGCAAATAGCTCCGGGAATAAAATGAATAAACTTGTTTTAATGGGACAGAGGCAGAACAGAAGTAGAATTGTTTTTCTGGGGGTAACTCCAGGCCATTTACAGCTAATAGTTCTTATATGCTGCACAAAGCGCCTTGCCTAGCTGCTTTCTTCACACCCTGTGGATGGGACAAAATGCCCGGACAGGTGTCGCATGTGTCCCTGTGCAGGCAGCTGCACCATCAGAGAATGCACAAATCCCTCTTCAAGCTGCATGTGCCCAGTAAGCACGAGGCATCACCCACTAGCTGGGCTCAGGTTAGTCGGGGCCACAGTCTAGTCTGTTCTCTCAGGTTTATTCACAAAGGAGCACCAAAATGGAGATCGGCTTAAATTCCCCTGCAGGTGAGAGACGTAATGGGTCCGAGTTCATTTATTAAATGTGCATTTTCCTCACAGACAGGCTGGAAGGACAGTAGGATCTTTTACACGCAATGCACTAGCGTTGCTCAAGTTTTATACCCTTAGCTCCTAACTCACTCCATTAGCATGTTCTCGTTGAAGTGGACTCTCTATGAAATATATAGACTAATAAAGGACCTATTATTTTAGATTCCAAATCAGCTAAAGAATCAAAAACCAACTTGTTGTATAGCCTGAATGTAGCACCCCTTACAGGAAAGCAGGCTATTCAGAATGCTCTGGGTCAGGGCGAGTTAGGAGGAAGAGGTCACAGATGTCTCTAAACCAGCTCCAAGAGATTTGTCCATGGTTTGTCCCGGAAGAGGATCTTTCTTTATTTTTTTAAAAACCAATGAAGGCACACTGTGTTACCTAGAAGACACAGGAACCAGGTAGCAGCAGTAAGTAGTGCCTCCCTATAAGCCGGGACAGACTCTCCAGCACGGCCTCAGCAGGCCTGTGTCTAGATGTCTCCACCCTTGGGTTTTTCCTTTAAAAAATAAGGAAAGTACCAAACAAGAACTTGCCCTACAAGGAGGTTCTGAGGACTAAATGCCATTTTAAAATGTTTTATAAATTATCAGGTGCTTTACAAGTGTGTTTGTGTAATCAAGTATGCAATTCTATGACTAAATACTTGCACTTGGATTTCATTGTTTATCTTGTGAGAATTTCTGGCTGTCTTCCCCACTTCAATTATATCTCAATGTCTTCATTCCACTAGAAAATGTTTAGGGTTTTTTTTCCCACATTTTATGTACTATTTTTGAGAAGGAAATTCAAGAGTTGACATAAACCTCACTAAGAAAAAAAAAGACACTATGACAGAAATAGACGACTCCAGTAGAAACGTTTAAAAATGCTCAACATATTGTTCCAAAGAGACTATAGTTTCCTTTTACACTGTGAATATGAACTAACTTCTTTACAATGGCCCTCCAGGCTCTACATGTCATAGACCCTTATTACTATATTTCCCCATGTATAAGAAGCACCCTTTTTCGAAAAATTTGGGGTCTAAAAACTGGGTGCGTCTTATACAGTGGTTGCATGAGCACGATAACAAGCGCAAAAAAAGCGGGAAATGCAAGTAAAAAAAAATCTACCACCACTGTATAAGACGCACCCAGTTTTTAGACCCCAAATTTTTTGGAAAAGAGTGCGTCTTATACATGGGGAAATACGGTACCTCCCTCACCTCACCATGACTCTCCCCCTTCTCCCTCTTTGTCAGCCACATGGGTTTATATTCTTATCCTGGAACTCACTAGCAATCTTCTGCCCCAGGGCCTTTGCATGGTTATTCATTCCCTTTGCCTATATGGATTCTCCCTCTAAATATCTACAACACTTGCTCCCTCACCACTTTCAAGTTGTCACCTTCTTCTTTCTCTTTGCTGATTTATATTTTAGAGCATTTATTCCCACTTACAATACTTCATGTTCTAAACAATTTCAAAATTATGCTTATTTCCTGGGTTTCAAAGGTAGGCTCAGTACCTTCTGTGTCTTCTTTTTAGCTTGGGAACCAAATCTCTTTCTTTCTAGTCTGGACTTTAATATTTTTCAAATGGGCGAAATATTTTAAAAAGTACTTAACATGTAACAACTGGCATCTTTGTAATGAAAAATATGAAAATTTAAAAATTTGATGAAATATGAAAGTTGAAAGATCTAACCCTTTCTGCCTCTATCCCTCCTGCCCCACAGCCCATCCTCCTAGCCTCCCAGGCAGCCCTTAAGTGAAGTTCCTGTCGTTTCTTGTTTGTTTGTTTTCTGGAAAGAACAGATAAAAGGTAGTAAAAAGTAAGAACGACAGGAAACTCACCTGGAACTGACTCCATCAGCCTGATGGGTTGGTAACACAGAGCTGCCCAGCCAAGTGGGACTGCCCTCCTCTGACAACAGTGGCCACTGTGGCAGAGGGCAGAGGGTCCAGCAGCGGTAGGCTTTCAGAGCAGGAGGCATTATGGGTGGAGGGGGCTGCTGGTGGCCAGGAGGCCTCCTCCGCACAGGAGGAGAAGGGGGCTTTCCTGGATAGATCATGGATGTCTGTAAAAAGGACGGGATACACACTTTAAAAAAAAAATAGTTAAAAGCCACCTGCATGTCACTAAAGGTGTGTCTTCAGAAAACACAGCCTTATTTGGAAATTATTAGGACGCCTAAGAAGTAAGCAATTTTGGAGCATAAAATATAAAAAGAGCTATTATTATATTCAGTGTTTGTGGATTACTTATGAGAAAAATATTAACTAAAATCTAAATGTTTCCTTTTTATGGAAGGACAGTCATGTGCAAGCAGCTGTATTAAATACATTTAAAAATGTGAGCTTTCTCACATCTACAGCTATGAATGCACAGGGAAAGGTTCTGAAAGAAGCGATGAGTTCACAGGGAGAATTCATATCACACAGGTGAAAGAGGGAGCATTGTTTTAAAGAAACAGTTAAGGGTAAGCTGAAAAGAATCAGAAGGCACAAGAAAGGAGACCAATAACCTAGCACTGGGAAGTTTCTGGAATACTACCAGGGCCAACAAAGACTGGGCACAAAGGGACACACTGGGATAGTTATGAGGCAACGCAGCCAAAAGCTTAGAGCAGGCTAACATCTAGGCGCAAGGACCCCGGCAAAATGAAACACACCGTTTCTCAGAGAAGAAAACTGATCTGGAAATTGGGCCCTATTGGATGCAGCCCTAGTGTGTGTGGGGAGGGGGCTAAAGCTTTGAGTGATTCTATCAGAATTTTCCAGCAAGGACACCCACAGTCCCAGCAGGGACATCCCATGCTTCCTTTGTCTTCAGCCAAGAATGCCCGAAGAGTGGGCATCTAACTGAAGGACTGAGTGGCTGCCCAGAAAACTGCTTGTGTGGGGTGCTGTCCAAGTTGACTATACAGGCGCCAAATGGACAGAGGCTTGTTTCCGATTCCCCCTGTATCTCCCAGAACATCCACCCCTGTGTTGGAACACAATGAACTCTCAATAACTTGGTTGGCTTAACCGTCAACTGTCTCCCAGCCTTAGGAAACTGCTGAAGACCCCATCGATTCTGAACACTCCGGCTGACCTACAAGGACTCCAGAGTGGTGAAGATGAATGCTTATCACCTAGAGTTATTCTAAGAACTTAATTAAATGCTCCATGCCGCGGAAACTTGGATAATTTACCACAGTGGTTATTTCATTTGGAACTAAGACTACTAATAAACCAGCGTGAATGATAAGCAAAACTGCAAATAATGATAAGAAGAAAAACAGAATTAAGGGGAGTCAGTTCTACTGCATCCTTAAAATTTTGATATGACCCTAAATACCAAAATGTAATTTGGAAGCTACATAAACTTTAAACTTTAAAAGAAGATGCTAATTTTAAAAATGTGCCAAAATGAAACCTACTGAATATTTAAAAATTCATTAATCTATATATTCATAATAGTTGATCAGGCTTTCATATTTAATATTTCTACTTCATTATTCATTTTTCATTATTAAAGTTTTAATTTTTGTTTTTGTTTATTCAACCAGTTCAGGTTAAATTTTCTGAAAATGACTATACAATAAATTTACACTCCTGGATTTATAATATCCTAAGGAAGGAAAAAAAAACAGATTTTGCAACTAATATATTTTGCTAAAGTACACCTGAATATTTTCAGCTGAACTGTACATTTATTAGAAGTCTACTTGGTGAAGTAACAACAGCTCTTTGTAGAAGTTTCACCAAACTTATTTGATATATATAACTGGAAGAGCCTGTGAGTAGCTTATGGATTTGTTTTCTGTTTCATTTGCATATGAAAAGTGTTATTTTAGGTCACTTTTATGCTGGAAAACATAAAAAAAAACACCCTACTATCACAGAAGAATAAAATAGAAGCGTAACATTGCCACAAATCACTTTAGTCATTTATTTATTTTTTAAATGCATCCAGACTGTGGTGTAAAAAACTAACCACTAAAATCTTCCTGTCTAGGAATTTCTGTTGTCTTAGAAGTCAGGAGCTCCGCGGTGCCCATGGTGTATCGGGAGTGCTAGAACCTCCATTTCTGATCTTCAAACAAAATCAAACTGCTCATCACAGTCTAATCCCAGCCATGTTTAATCCTGCTTACTGTCTGGAGTTCCTGAAGTATTATTTGCATCGTTCTTAAATTTAGTAAGAACATCCTGGCCTATTTCCGAACTTCTCCCCCTACCTCACAATTTCCCCCCAATTCTTTCCTCCACCAAGCAGCTCTGGAAGCCTGAAACAAGGCAAGGGAAACAGGAGGCTCACATGGGAACGAGCTGGGCTCTGGCAGGGCAGCGGCTGGGTGGTGCAACTCACACGGTGGTTTGGGGGTGGCCTCTACAACAGAGAACTCACAGGCATCAGATGGTCACTGACTTCAGTCCCTAGTTTCAATGACTTCCTACCACCAGCACTGGGAAACGTAGCCAGTGCTCCATTCCCAGGACCTCAGAGGAAGGCAAGATTTCACAGACGGGATCCAAACCTCAACCAGGGGAAAGCCTGCTGGGTTTATTTATGACGACTCCCCACATAGCACATCAGAATATTTATCCGGTCAGCTTTTCTACCTAACTTGGTAAGTGACCAACAGGCCCAATACTGTAAGACAGGGTATTCTGAACTTTGCTTTCTTCTTAACCTGAAAAGCAGTTTCACCACTCCACTCATCCCTGATAGAAGGAAAAGGCCTTCCCCTATTTTGTTTATCCCGTGCAGCAAACAGTCTCCAGAAATGCTGGCTAGATTACTTGTGCACATCGCTTATAATGGCAGGCGCACGGCCCTGAGGCTGCCATCTGCTAGGAAGGAAGTACTCTCTCTAAGGATGCTGGAGAAACTGACAGCTAATGTAAACAAAACCCTGACTTACCCGCATGTGTGCCGGGCCATAGAGTCCCAATGACACTTTTGAAAACTATGGATAGCTTATGAATTTTTATGTTTGCATACGTCTTCTTTGCAACAGAGGGTTGTAGTCATATCAGTAGAAAGGTAGCACCTTCTGAAAAAACATTTTCTCTTCATATAAAAATCCCGTTAAGTGTTTTTTCTCAGAAATAAAAAAAGGATCTTTAAAACAGTAAGGGCACACTGGTGAAATCATCTACTCCCCAGAAGATTACCACCTAGCAACAACTGATTAGTTACTTATAGGTCCTTGGGCAAATTCTAAATTGGTTAGTTTTCAAATAACTCAACATTAAATAGGTTAATGACTCATTGCTTAGGAAACTGTTAATGGGCTTATTCGCAATGAGGAGTATATGATATTCCACTTATAGAATAAAATGTATCTTGAAGACACCTCAAGCAGTGACTGAAACACAAGTTGACCCCATAGGTACCAGATCAGTGGGCCAGGGTGAATTAATCTACCAAGAGGAAGAAGTTAACATTTTCCCAAATAGGGGGCTTTCAATCTGAATTATCCCAAGAATTCTTTCCCTTCCCCTTCTCCCATTTTTTGTACAAGTAAGCACATGATCTTGAATGTTTACCAAACCTTCACCCTTCTGCCTCATCAGTAACACTGCCCACATGGTCGTTAGCAGCTGTATTTCCCGGATGTACAATCTCCTTATCTAGGTGCCTCTGCATTCTCTATTTCTTCCCGCTAGGTCCCGCTAGCATATCCAGTCTAAGCATGAAGCAATTTACTGAAATGTTACAAAGTAAAAAGACCATGCCACTTTCCAAATACTAAACTGTTCTAGAGAGAACAGGCTATATATCCTGGGAGAAAGTTATTCATCAGTACACAAAAGACTCAGAGAGACAGAGCATTCTCTATCTTTTGTTGATAATATTTACCAACATCTCTACCAACTAATTAAATCAGTGACCTTGGAAAGGATGCCCCACCTCCCTCCAGTTCTGTTTTCATAACCTTAAAATAAGTTACATTATACAATGGTTCCCAACCCTTTTCCCTCAAAATGATCTTACATATTTTTGATTGTCACCACACTGTGTGGAAAGAGTTTTAATGTATTTGGTGGTGGTGATGGGAAGTTATGTTATCAAGTATAATATACAGTTTTCTTTACTAAAACAAAAACGGGAAGGAATATAAGTTTTCCACTTGGCAGACCACTAGAAGTCCAGGAAACGAGACTGGAAACACCCAGAACAGATGACCAACCAACAACTTGATTCAACCCTAAAATTCACTGATAAAATGAGAGCCTTGAAAGTATTATAAAGTACTAAGCTCTTCAAACTGGCAGATGCAAAAACTGGTTAAAAAAAAATAGGGGTTTTCCTCCAACATCCAGTCTTACTGCTTAACTGTCCCCATTTTACTCTCAATGAATAATGTATGGAAGAAAAGAGAAATTAAATAACTATCATCCAAGTGAAATAAAAACGTTAACTTGAAAGTGGACTCAGGTGGAGTTTACAATAAAATCTTAAATGCAACTATTGTGTATGAGCTTCCAAAGCAGACACAATTTGTATGACTCGGAGACAATGTGATATGATATAAAATGCACTGGCTGGGGATGGGAAGATGGTACCAGGTAGAACCAAAGCAAAATGTTGGTAAAATAGCATCTTTTTGTGGTTCAACCCAACATTACTCCTTTTGGCCCAGGAATCCTGGGCAAGTCACTGGGCCTCTCTAAGCTGCAGTTTCTTATTTCAAAAAAATGGGGCTCCAGATGGCCCTGCCTATGTCATAAGGTTTTTGGAGTACTACATGATACTATATGTCTTGAAACTGTCTTGAACTATGTCTTGAAACTATGAAGTGAAGAAAAATACATCTTTTTAATGTTAAACAATTCTTTTGATCCCAAAGAGTGAGGGGCTTGCAATTATCTTTCAATATTGATCAGAATAATGGTTACATTTTTATCATCTCCAGCTTCATTTAGCATTTTTTCAAAATCATTCATTGCCCACCAGTTTTGGGGGTTAGTTACACTTATAATTTGGAGGCAAAAGATAGACTGATTTAAATAACTACTTTTAAATGTGCATGGAAAAGGCATTATGTCATCAATCTTAAATTTGCATAAAAAAGCACTATGT